CGGAAGTGGCCATTGGACTAATTTACCATTCTCATCCTTATTGACATCACTTGGATTTTACCCCCCAGATCTCTTCTTTTTTTCTCCTCCCTCAGGAGTCCTGCCCTATGATGTGTTCCCCTGAGCATGTACAGAGGGCTGTCTTGGAACTATTGTGGACTCTTGGCAGGGGAGGGGTGAGGGGATTTCAGTGTGTTCCAGTTGTTTCATTTTTGTGCTTTGGCATGGTTCCCGGACAGAAAGCAAGTTGCAACATGGTTCTTTAACAAGGTCTGCAAAGACAATGGGCTCTGTTCTCGACCTTGTTGCAATCTTTTTAGTTACAGCAAGCGGAATATGCTTGCCTAGTGCCTTTTAATTGCTGAGAAAAATGATTTTAAAAAGCTTTGAGCTTTTTTTTGGTGGTGGTATTCTAGTATTCCAGTAAATGCTTCATTTAAGATTAGAAATAATATGAAGGACAATCGTATAAGTTTATCGCCTGTGTTTTGTTGCTTGCAGAAATAGTGTCTTATTGTTTTCATTTTAATCATAATAGCAATAACTTTTTAGGTCATTATCCATATTGTAATTGGACCTATGAGTATTTTGATGGATTTTTTTGTTTGTTATTTTTTTTAATATTACCACTATGAGTGATAGACCGAAAGTCTCAGTTAATAATGTCACAACTTACATGACTTATGACCAACAGGCTGCGTGTAGAGATTTTTATGTTTGGTTCAACTGGATGAGAAAGAGCAGTAAATCTGCATATTTGCTTCAATCTGATTTATGGTTATTCTGTGGCAAATTGGACCGAAGCTCTGTTTTTAATTCTATCATCTTTGTTTTAAAAATAATCAACAAAAAACAAACAAAAAAGTCAGAAATGAGAGAAGTTGCTTTATAAACTTTTTATGCTTTAAATGTAATCCTTGCCTCTAAAGGTGGAATTTATGCCTTAATTCATTCTCATTGTTGTATGTATATAACTGATCAATCGACCAATATCTCCGCTACTATCGATTATATGGAACAAATGATAGCCCATAATCCTTTGAATCCGCCTGAAGGTTTTGATCCATGGGACTGGTTATTTTCTTGGTTACCTAATGGATTATGGTTAAGAAATTTATTATTGATTGTAATTGCATGTATTGATGGTTTTATTATGTATTCAATGCTTGCTTTTTTTTGATTTCCCAATGTACTGCATGGTGGTACCGACCAAGGCCCACCACAGGGATTACAAGGGGAATTTATATTGCAAGATATAAACGCTTAGGTAATGAGATATATGATTCTGATTAAGATTTCCTCTTATAATATAAACAAGAAAAGAGGGCATGTGGGAAAATGATTGCTTGTACATAAGAGCATGAGCAGAGTTCTTATTATTGCAGAGTGATTTTACAGCACGAGATATTGCTAAGAGCATGATGAGCACGTTAACACCTCATGCTAGACTAATGATTGGCTCACGTAGCATAACACTCTCTTTGTCTGTGGGCAAAAGCAAGGTTACATTCCTTTGATTTGTTACTTTTGAGTACCAGGCAGAACAAGCGCAGTGCTGGAGGAGGGAGGATGATTTTCTTTTTACTGCACACAATAAACATTGCACGGCTGAAGCCAAAGCTTTTTCTTCAAGTCATCTTGGTGTGAGACTGATTTCTTACTGATCTTCCTACTGATGTCGAGCTGGATTCTCGACATTGTAGTAGATTTATACTGGATCATTCACACGTCATTCTGCTTTATTTGTTGTTTACAATTCTTCCCCAGTGGACACAAACAAAAACAACACCCCTCCCCCCTGCAATATTTATGGATCAATAAGTTTAGCAGGAAAGTATGAGACGTGCACCTATTGAAACAAAGAAGCATGTCTGCCTCGTTGGGCAGGCACAAATGGTATTCAAAGCACACTTGTGTATAACCCTCTTGATAACATCATGAATGCAAATCAGATGAACACTGAATAATAATCTGGAGGGATCTAAAATTGCCAACCATTGGCCAGGCTGAACCCCTGCTTGAACAGCAATTTGGTTGAGCTGGCACCTAAAAACAAGAAGAAGAAGAAGAAGAAGAAGAAGAAGAAGAAGAAGAAGAAGAAGAAGAAGAAGAAGAAGAAGAAGAAGAAGAAGAAGAAGTTTGGATTTGATATCCCACCTTTTACTCCCCTTAAGGAGACACGGGTGGTGCTGTGGGTAAAAGCCTCAGCGCCTAGGGCTTGCTGATCGAAAGGTCGGTGGTTCGAATCCCCGTGGCGGGGTGCGCTCCCGTTGCTCGGTCCCAGCGCCTGCCAACCTAGCAGTTCGAAAGCACCCCCGGGTGCAAGTAGATAAATAGGGACCGCTTACAAGCGGGAAGGTAAACGGCGTTTCCGTGTGCGGCTCTGGCTCGCCAGAGCAGCGATGTCACGCTGGCCATGTGACCCGGAAGTGTCTCCGGGCAGCGCTGGCCCCCGGCCTCTTGAGTGAGATGGGTGCACAACCCTAGAGTCTGTCAAGACTGGCCCGTACAGGCAGGGGTACCTTTACCTTTACCTTTAAGGAGACTCAAAGCAGCTAACAGAGTGAGGCTGAGAGACTTCAGAGAAGTGTGACTAGCCCAAGGTCTCCCAGCAGCTGCATGTGGAGGAGCGGAGACGCGAACCCGGTTCCCCAGATTACGAGTCCACTGCTCTTAATCACTACACCACGCCCTCCCACCAGATGTCAAAGAGAAAAATAATTACCAAACTTTTAGAAGACATCTAAAGGCAGCCCTGTTTAGGGAATATTTTAATGTTTAATAGGTTACTGTATTTTAGTGTTTTGTTGGAAGCCACCCAGAGTGGCTGGGGAAACCCAGCCAGATGGGCGGGGTATAAATATTAAATTACTACTACTACTACTACTTCCAGAGCCACTCCAGAGCCTTGAACTCACCCAATTCCTCTGCTGCTCATTTCTTGCACCAGAGCCAACAGTCAACTGTTTAGGAAAGGCTTCTCATATAGATGGCTCAGTATTCACCATCCATATCAACTTGGGGCATATTGGTATCTTGATTTACATTAGTTTGTCACCATTTCCTTTTCTTAATATTTATTGCTTATTTTGCTTGCTCTATGGTATGATGCAACACCCTGCTAGTGCACTTTTGGGTTGCTAATAATGTCAAAATCAAAAATAAATTAAAAAGAAAAGAAAACAGTAGAAGATATGGAGAGGAGAATAATGAGATGCTATTGCATTTCAGTTAATATTGCACTTACCTGACCAATCTCCTCCACAAAGAGGAGATCGAACTTTCTTTCCTTCACTGTCCAACTTCAGATTGTGGGTTAAGGATTAAAAACTCTTCCATTGTTAACAAGCAGCCAAGATTAACCAGAATATAGAAAACTAGGTGTGCTTCCAGAGCAGTTGAGAAAAGCAAGATAAATATACCGCCCCCCAAAAAACAGCAACCCTTAGCAGCATTAAAAATGTATTAATACATTTAAAAACCTGGGGAAATACAGACTTCTTTTCCTGGCACTGAAACAAAAGCAACGTTGATGCCAGGCAAGTCTCTCTGGGATGGGAATTCCATAAAGAGGGTGCCATTAATCAAAATGTTTTTGCTCTGGTCACCCCGCAAAGAGTGTTGGAAAGAAATCTCCAACCCAGAAGCCCAGTGCTAAGCAGTCATAGGGTTAGGGTTAGGGTTAGGGTTAACTTCTAGAGACCCTGGGGAGGGAGCTGAAGGACAGCATCAGACATTTTGAACAAGGCATCTGCAAAAAGAAGGGCAGTAATTTACAGCAGGAGTTGCCAGACAATGGGGGCTGTCCTAGGTAAATAGGAGAAGTTGGGGCATATCATGTCTTCAACCCTTCTACCTCCTGAAGAATGTTTGTGCGTTGATGCACACAACTGCTCTGTGTTGCATTGAGTTCAAACTGGAATAGATCGTGCCAGAGACCAGAATCCTGGTCTTGAGAATCAGATGGCCATGGGGAGGTAATATGATGTTCCTGCTTGCTTTATCACTCCAACTGCCTGCCTGAATCTTATTGTTAAGGAAGAAAGCTGCAAGATAATGCAATGGTCCCTTGTGGCTTCTGGGTTCATCTCAAGCTGCTGTTGCCACTGCTAATGACCCATAAAACTCTGTAAGTATCCTGGGGCTAACAGGTTGCTTCATTTTGATCAAATACTTAGTATATTTAGGAGCTTCCAAAATAAATAAAAAAAGATCCAGAGGAAATGAACATTGCTCTCAGAAAATGTCCATATAAATTTGTGGAAGCAACAAGTGTGTGCTCTCTCTGACAAACTGAGCCATAGATGTATTACGGCTGGACACAACGTGAGCAACAAAGGGTTAGATTTAGTTGAAAGAGCGTTTGGTTAGCCACGCTGTTTTGCATTTTAGCAATATCAGATTTTGCACAGCAGCTTATACCTGTGCGTGCCCATTATGGAGAGCTCTCCCAGAGACAGCACTTTTTCTGCCTCCAAAGTCCTTTTTGCAACTTGCAGCCAAATAACAGAGGCTCAACATGACCTCTCTTCTTTTTTCTTGAGAAGTCTGGTGTGATATTGGATCGGTCCACGCTCCCCCTTGCTCCCTGTCAAATTCACCCACATTCTTAACAACTCAGCTGACCTAAATTGCCAGACACATGGCTGTTTACTACTCTAATTATGCAAAATAGCATGGCACTCCCGGCAAACCCTCAATTTCTCTCTCCACCTCCCCATCTCCTCTGTATGCTTTAGGTCTAGACATTTGTCTTACCATTTTTTATTCCTCTTGATTCCCTTGTTCTGCTTTGTTATTCCCCTGTCTGCCCCCTCTGGTATGTGTGCGAGTTCTCTCTCTTTCTCTCTCTCTCTCTTTTTGCTTGTCAGAAATTTCTTTTCCACCGTGTGGGCAGGAGACAGATTTTTTACTGTCTCTATTTTCATTTCCTCCCCTCTCCTCCTTTCCTTTTTGCCCCTTCCCACCTCTCCTCCTTTCCCTTTTCCGCTCCTTCCCTAGTCCTCTTCTCATTATTTATTTCCCTCCACCTCTTCTCTTCCCCTCCGTCTCTCCTCCTTCCTTCAGTCTTATTTTATCTTTCTATTACAAATAATGTCTCTGGAATAATATCACAGCCTAGTTCCAGGAGCTATGCATGTTATTCAAGGTAAGAGCTTATTTTAGATCCTCTGTTTGCAATAATGGCTGTCTGGGGTAGATTGCTAGCTTACTTAAAAGTAGGTAATGCCTCTTTAATTTCCCCCCCTTGTTTGGCGTTCTGTGTTTTATACCTTGCAGAAGAAGGAATCCTAGAGTAGTAGCTAATCTCAGTGTAATGCTGCTACCTGTTGGAGAGGAATGGCTGGCTGGCTTCCAGTTCCCCCAATTTCCCTTTGAGTGAACTGTGGCTACATTTTGCCTTTGATCTAAAGAATAGATTTTAATCGTTGCAGAATTCCATCCCCAACCCTTTTGGCTTTTGTGCTATCATTTTTTTATGGCAATGCTAGGAACTTTGGAATTATGCATAGGTGCTTTATACTAATATTGATTTGGCGGTACAGCAACCTGGTCAGAACGGGTTCTTTGCAATCCTTAGGAGTATTGTCTTCTGTTGTCTGGCTTCTTTTACAGGTAGATTTTTCTTGTACTTTCACCCCCCATCCAAAGTTTGTAAGTGGAACTTTTAAAAGGAAGATGCTTTTGCTCTGGCTGGAGAAAGTTTTTATTAAGGTAGCCTTCCTACATTTGGAGGTTACTCATTCATTTAAGGTGGACCCTTTTAAGGTGAACTGTAGCTAAGAAATCAACCAGAGTCACAGGTGGATGGATGGACTGTTAACCCTTTCAGAACTTGCAGGATGTAAGGGAAATGGTTCCTTAATTGCTTGAATTCTTATGCCTTAGTTTTTCTTTCCCCCTCCTACCCCACAATTAAGTTAGCATCATATTGGTTTGCATATTTCATCACACAGCAATTTAGTTGTTTAATTGCTGCCTCGTTAATGTTGGAGTTGTCATCATCTGCTTTCATTCACAATTTTTTTGGACCTTCATTCATTGGGGCTCCTGGAGAGGGCTTCTTAGCCAACTCATGTCACATTCCAGCCATGTGCTTTGTAAAAGTGTTCCCATCACACCATACATGAATCATTTCTCCTTTCATTGGGTGAATCAGTTTTCTGAAAGCTTTTTTCTTGGTCTCATCCTCTTCTCAGTACAATTAGGGATAGATTTGAGAGCACCGTTCTTTGGGACAAATGTATAAAAAGCTTTGACTACTGCAATATTCTGTAGTCACAGTAGCACAGTCATGAAATGTTTTTCATTAGAAAAAATTGACTCACTCTGGTCTTCCTCAGTAGCAGAAAATTCAAGAAGTTTATGCTGGTCCCCTGGCTAGTCATGCTGGTCTCACCAGTAACCTCAGAAGACTTGCAAAGTCCCTACAATTGACCCAATATCCAATTAATATTGGATATTGGGCCAATATAATTTAAATAAACTGGGATTGGCAAATTGGCTACCCATAATACATGGGGCAGTTTTTATCTGGCCCCTAGCAACTCCATCAAAATTTAATCAAGGAATGGTTGCAACCCCCCCCCCAACACACACAACAACAACAACAGTAGCAGGCAAACGTTTTAAAGGAACACAGATCTTGTATGTTTTAGTCTTGAATCTCTTCACTGATTTTTTTAATCTAATGCTATGCCTGAACACATGTTCTTCATAATTGTGAATTCCAAATGGGCAGATGGCAGAATCTTTATTTTGGAGCCAGACCACTTCTGAGAAGTCAGTTTGCACAGCAAAATGGCAACTAATAGACCACAATCTATAATGCTGTCCTCCCAAAAGAGATGACCAACCTTGTTCTAAAACCTTTTGACCTGTCTTTAACCCTTTGCAAAATCAAAGCATCAAGCGCTTTTGAGCAGGAGTGGTGAACCTAGGGGCGCCAACAAAATCAGGAAAATTCTTTTGAGAATGATGCACCCGGGCAGCTCCTTAAGGCCTTGCTGATAGGTAAAGGTAAAGGGACCCCTGACCATTAGGTCCAGTCGTGACCGACTCGGGGGTTGTGCGCTCATCTCGCTTTATTGGCCGAGGGAGCTGGCGTACAGCTTCCGGGTCATGTGGCCAGCATGACTAAGCTGCTTCTGGCGAACCAGAGCAGCGCACGGAAACGCCGTTTACCTTTCCGCTGGAGTGGTACCTATTTATCTACTTGCACTGCGTGCTTTCGAACTGCTAGGTTGGCATGAGCAGGGACCGAGCAACAGGAGCTCACCCCATCGTGGGGATTCGAACCGCCGACCTTCTGATCGGCAAGCCCTAGGCTCTGTGGTTTAACTACTGCCACACAAAAGGTCCTGCTGATTTTCAGCAGGGCTGCTCAAGAGTAATAGTTGTGGCAAATTGTGGCAAATAGTTGAAATTGACAAATTCCCCATCCTTCCTATTCCAGTAAGACAGCTAGTCCTTTAGAGGACCTCAGAGATGACCAGAGACATTTGGGGGTCTAAGGTGGACAGCCCAGCAGTGTCTGATGGCCATGGCTGATCAGAGGGAGTCCATAACTGAATGACAGGGAATCTCCTTTGCATGTGAAGGTCCAATCCTTGGCATTTTTGTTTTTTAAAAAAACCTCTGGGTGCAAGGTTGGGACTCTACCTGAGAGCTACTCTGCCACACAGTGTAGATAATAATGGGCTAGAGATAACGAATGCCAAACCTTTTGGCATACAGATGTTGTTGGCTCCAGTTGCCCTTAGCCAACATGGCCAATGGTTAGGATGATGGAAGTTGTATGTAGTACAGCAACACCTGGAGTGCCACAGGTTCCCCACTCATGGGATAGATCAGGGGTCAGCAAACTTTTTTAGCAGGGGGCCGGTCCACTGTCCCTCAGACCTTGTGGGGGGCCAGACTATATTTTGAAAAATATATATGAACGAATTCCTATGCCCCACGAATAACCCAGAGATGCATTTGAAATAAAAGCACACATTCTACTCATGTAAAAGCACGCTGATTTCCGGACTGCCCGCAGGCCGGATTTAGAAGGCGTTTGGGCCCCTGGCCTTAGTTTGCCTACCCATGGGATAGATAGTCAAATTCAGTAGCATCTTATGTACTGAAAGGTTTTCCATAGGACTTTTGCCAATAGCCATTGCATTTTCAGCTACCATGGCTGCCTTTGCCCCCCAATCCTCAACTATTTGATTCCTAAACTAGATTCAGGTTAGACTTACGTTGAGCGTGCTTATCTGTGCAGTGCTTCACACACTCTTGAGGCACTCACTCATTAGGGAAGCTGGGGTTTTTTTAACCACTTCCTCTAATCAGATTGCCTTTCCTGCTGTACTAGCTTCTTACAACTTGCCATATCTATTCTGTCTTTTTTTGGGGGCGTTGCAATTTGAAGATTATCATTTACCTTTCTACAGTATATTACTGGTGGACAATATCTACCTTTTCAAGATTGCTTTTGTTTTGATGCATTTCAACAAAATTGTGCTGCTGCTTCAAAAACAAGTTTCCTCAATAAAGTTATTCGTAGAATAAACAAGGTGCAATAAAAACAACAACAATTTTTAATTAAATTTGTAAAAAAAACCTTTTACATTTTTAATTCTTTTTTTATTGAAGTCAAACAAATCAATAGAATAAAAATAACAGAAGTACAAATACAAATAAAGAAGCAGCAGCGCAGTATATCCGGAAGAGACTTAAATCAGGTAAGTCTAATACTTAAGATCATTAGGAAAACCAAATTTCACATTGTAGCACAAAGAGGGAAGGTGCATTTTTTTTTGAACTGAGTTGCTATAGAGTTTCCCTCTGCAATCTGATTAAACTGAGCCAGGTAAGATTTGCATATAGCTAGGAGGAAGTCAATTAACTTTAGCAAAGAGAGCAGAACAGCAATGGCAGATTTTGGGCTATAATCCTAAACACACTTATTAGTAAGTAAATCTAACCAAACACAGCCCACTCTGTCAGATGCATGTTTCCATGCGCAGGCACACACACCCTGAGTTCTGAGAGAAGTTGTCATTTTTTAATACAAAGCAAGGCCAAAAGTTCAGCCTATGCAAGAGAGAATGTCTCTCAGGAATACACAGAGCACAATTGAATACAGTGAATGTGACTTTGCTCACACCTACTAGTCTACCCTGAGCTGCCCGGCATTTTAACTTCAGCATGTTATTTTAAAAAAGTTTTTCTATTGAGAGTCTATATATATCCATATAGATAGATAGATAGGGATGCGGGTGGCGCTGTGGGTTAAACCACAGAGCCTAGGACTTGCTGATCAGAAGGTTGGCGGTTCAAATCTCCGCGACGTGGTGAGCTCCCGTTGCTCGGTCCCTGCTCCTGTCAACCTAGCAGTTTGAAAGCACGTCAAAGTGCAAGTAGATAAATAGGGACTGCTCCAGCGGGAAGGTAAACGGCATTTCCGTGCGCTGCTCTGGTTCGCCAGAAGTGGCTTAGTCATGCTAGCTCCCTTGGCCAATAAAACGAGATGAGCACCGCAACCCCAGAGTCGGTCATGACTGGACCTAATGGTCAGGGGTCCCTTTACCTTTACCTTATAGATAGATAGATATAGATTAGATAGATATAGATATAGATATAGATATATAGTAAATCTACTTTAGTGCCAGCTTCTTAGACCTGGCAAAAGTGGGTTGTGGATCATAACACAAAAAGGCTTGATGTTCGCTGCAACCAGCTCACTGGCGACGTCTCAGGAATATGCTGCTGTGGAAACCCTTAGGCTGACTTCTCCTTCTCCTGTAATCTGTTCTGTCTCCATCAATTTAGAGATTCTGATCCTCATGGCAGAATCTGACCTCGTTACCATGTGTCAATACAGCAGCCTTCTATATCCAAAGTGATATTGTTTTCCTAGACTTTTTTTATTTTAAAGTTAGCTTTTTATTTGACGTCCCTTTTCATTTCCTATTTCCTTCTGCAAGACTAACTAAGGGAAGAGTCCTTAGTTAGGCTGCCTTTAATTATGCTGGTGTGAATAATTGATCCCAAGATTTTGGATCTTGATATGTTTATTCTGATTCTGTAACTTTCCTGGCTCCTGTATCTTCCATTACAAATCAGTGTTTGATGGGAAACACTGGCCATCGCTTTCCTTTT